GCCCGCCCGAGACCCCCGCACCTCCCGGACCCAGGCCCAGCCCCGCCGCCTTCCTCCCCCCCTGCCCCGGGGGTCTCCATGTGCTTCTCCAGCCCGCGGGGACCGGGGGGCGGCATCGCCCCCCCAGCGCTCCCGCCTCCTCCTCCGCTCACACCTTGCGTGCAAGTTACTTGTAGCGGACACACCGTCTTATTGCCGATAAACAGTAGGCGCTGCGGGTTGCTGAAATGAGCAAACCGGCCCAGAAAAACAGCTGCAGGAGTTCCTGTGAGGAACAGGCTGATGTTTGGAGGGGAAGAAAAAAAAAAAAAAAAAAAAAAAAAAAAAAAAAAAAAAAAAAAAAAAAAAAAAAGCCAATAACAAAAAACCTTCCGAGAACAAAACTTCTTGTTTTGTTCACCATCTGAAGTGAGATTTTCTTGGTGGGGCTCAACTTGCCCATCTGCTCTGCAGCAGCAGCAGGAAAAGCTCAGCCTGACTGCAGGCCGTGGCTGGTGTGAGTCCATGGGGCTGAGCACACCAGCTCACACAACTGCTGTGGCTCCTGCTTGACCCTGCTGTGGGCTGCAGGTTCCCAACCTTGTTTTCCAACATCCTCCCCACCACCCCTGACTCCTTGAGTTATTTATTGCTTTCTTCATGTTGAGAAACAGCAGATCCCAGAGGTTTATAAAGGAGGTTGTGCAATGTTGCTTCTATGTAACTGTTGGTCATGGTGTTCCTCACGATTTTGCACAGGGAAGAAACTCTTTTTGCTAATGTAAATAAAGTGTGCTGGAAAAAGAGTGACACACAAACTGTCAGGATGTCTCTGAGGAGCTGCTTCACGAGCATAAAACAGTAACAAAACCTCATGGCTACTGAAAACAAAATGGGCTTCCTATTGATTTTGGACAGTGCTGATCTGAACCTCAGAGACCTGGCTGATGTTCAGCTTTTATCTTTCTGGCAGCAGGTTAAAATAATTCAAACAGCAGTTGAATATCTGCTTGGACCAGCCAGCTGGTCCTAATCCAGGCCCCTCGATCTCATTTGTTGCCCTTCTCAGATTTCATACATAATGATTTGCAGTAAGAGCTGGTAATGGCTTGTCTTTTATCCTTTCAGAAATTCTTCTTGCAAGTATTTGCCAGTGATGAGAAATTCTTACCTAGCTGATCTTTTAAGGTGAAAAAGCACAATGGATTCATGACCTTAATATGAAATAAGTGCTCAGTTCACCTCTGCCAGCCCAGGTTCCCTCTTTGCACTGGAAACAAGACCCTCCCAGAGCCAGACTGGCAGCTGTCAGACTGGTGCATCTCCACTTAAATGCACAGGGCTTTGCTGCTCTTCACCAGCTGAAATTATCAGGGGCTCTCACAGTTTGGGTGCTTGGGAGGCACTGTACAAGTCCTGCTCTCAGTCAGAGTCATGAAAACCTCACATAATTTCTTTAAACACTGACTGACACTTGGGGAAATGGGAGAAGCTGGGACTACAGGACAGACCATCCCAAGATATGGATGGTTTTGCTTTGGTCCTGGTCTTTGCTACAAACTTATTGATTTTAAGTGATTAGTGATTACTTAGTGATTTTAAGCAGTTAGCATTATTGGCTTGATCCCTCTTCTCCCTGCTCCATGATTCCACTGCTTCCATATCTGTAAAAGCTGAATATTATCTCCTTTATAAAACATTCCAGAGATCTGATGGTATTCCTTATATGGCAGCTAGATATTAATAGTGAGATCAGACTTGTCCATGTGAGTGTGCCAACACTGGATTAGTAAAATCCTCAGTATTTGGTGACCTAATCTCAGAAAATATTTCAGAAATCTTCTAGAAAATAATCTCAGAAAATAATCTCAGAAAGTAATCTCAGAAAGTCCCACTACCAGATCTTGAACAGTATTTTCCCCTATCTATCATCTTATTCTTATACATACTTAAAAAAGAAACTAAAAAAACAACATGCACCTCACAACCAGCCCTGCTGTGACAGTACCAACATTGTTCCCATAACAGAGTTACCTCATGGATGATATTGGGCTCTATAGACTTGCAATGTGCTGATTTTTCCACATATATAGATTTAAAATATTTAAATTTTAAACATGAAATATTGTATCTACTGCTCACTAAAATTTCTGAGGTGATCTCACCCTGTTGTCATCAATATGCATGCTTCTGCTTCTATGCCTTTGAAATAAATGCTGCTCTGGTACCACAGGGAGACACTCTGGATACAGAAACATCTGCTTGCATCTGGAGCACAGGCAGTAAAATCAGGCACGATTTTGATTTTTAGTTCAAAGGAAGTCTGAAGTAATTAATTGCATTTGAGCTTATTCTCATGGGCCTGATCCAAAACCTTATTAAGAAAGTCTACTAAAGAAGTAGCTTAGAATCCACTAGAAGGGGTCCTCTTTCCTTGCTGTCAGTGGGCTTTGAATCAGGTCCTTCCACCCAAAGACTGAAGTTACACTGAAACCAGCTCAGGACTTTCTCTGGTTGCACCTTCCTGAGTCCCAGCAGGACCCACCCTGATTTCTGCACTTTGCTGCCACACAGCATCAGAGGCTACAAAAGGTACCATCTCAAGAAGTAAGCTAAAGTTCAGGAGTTACTGTGCATTTCTCAGCTACTGCAGCTACCTCAGTGAACAACAGAATCATGTTCAAAATCTCTCATCTCTCTATCTGTTACTCTCCAAACACATCCTTACAGGACACACACAGAGATAGAAAAACATACTATCCTTCAATATCAAGAGGTTAACTGAGTTTGTTACTTGCATTGAATATCTTTTCTAAAAGTTACAGCTGAAAGGCAGGCTGCTGGATGTTGTCTGATAATCCAGTTTAAGAAAAAAAAAATAAAGTGCTGAAAAACTCACCTTTGCTGTCAGTGATCAGATGAATGGAGAAGAACATTTTTCTTGCCCCCACAGGCTCTCACAGCTCATGCCATGTCGCTTACAGGCGCTGAACTCAGAGTGAGTTTCCCCTTTCCAAGCCAGATCCTTTCCAGATGTGAGCAGCAGAATTAGAGGGAGTAATAGGCAACCCTCTACCAACGAGAGTTTCCTGAACTTCCCAACAAAATCAGAGAGGAATTTTCCAAAGTCACTATATGGGAAAATGTGAGCAGGAAAGAGGCAACAGCTATAGCCTGAATATAAAGACTTGGGGAAGAAACAATCTCCCATTGCTTTTTGTCAATAGGGTTTGCAAGATCCATGAGAGATGCCAAAATCCAGCATGCTGGAACTGACAGAAGAGAAGCAGAGACAGCGTGTACTTCAGCGTCTCATTGCAGGATACCAGAGCTGCACTGTCCGTTACTAGATCTTTAATATTAGCCACATCCAACACAAAATCTGAATTCCAAGTGGGAATGTCCTCCCATTCCCTGGGGGTCTGGTTCAAATTAGCCAGGAACAGACAGATCAGCAGTTTTTTCCTGAATTTCATTTCCCTCCCCTTTAACCCCCTGGTTTTCAACCCATCAACTGATCGTCAGGGACCAGCAATAGACAGGCTGGAACTACAAATGCCTCAGAGGCAAAATCTCCAGATTTGATATAACAGCTCATCTACCCCATCTCTTTTGTAACTTCTAAGCCACATATTACAGCACTAAAGATCAAAACAACCCCCCCCCACCACATACACACAGTCCAGCCCTGGTCACGTTTAGCACAGGAGCCTCACATTCCTTATGCCTTCTCTCTTGGTGAAAAAAACAAACCAAGAGAGGAACATGCTGTTTATAACACAGTACGCTCCAGCTGCTGCAAAACTTTTAAGAAAACAACACAGCTTTTTGTCACTGACAGCAGTTACTATTTTAAATATAAAGCCACCTGCTTTGTGAATGCCCCACAGTGCCCCGTACAGTACCTCCAAAAATCTGCTGAGGATCTGTCCTCGCCAAGAACACGACCTTCTTGCTGAATTCCAAAAAGGGGACACTGATTTTTTCCTCTCAACTCCAGCTGAACTAAAGTCTACAGCAATTAAGTTATTTCCTCCCTCTCTTCTTCCAGGCTCATATCAACTGGAACTGATCCCCCTCTGTGCCACGTGTAAGTTTCAACAGTTAGTGTAGGAAGCCTCTTTTTACTAAAACAAAAATAAAAACAAAACAAAGCTGACTGTTTTTTCTCAGGGATTCAGAGATGCAGGATACACTTGCCTGCTGCCCTTTCTATATTAGAGTGCCCTGAGCCCATACAACAACATTCACAGTGTTCTCAGGCAGGAGAGAAAAACTGTGCTTACTTTGGAGGACCACTCCATCTTAGCCCAGCCTGCCAAGAGGAGTAGGGTGACCACCTGGCTCACTGTTAATGCCAGAGGAGCCCACAAGGGAGAGGAAGAGAGCAGGACTCACCCTTCCCCAGAAGTGCACTTCTGTTTTTGTTGTGCAAGTATAGTATGTAGCCATCGTGTAGCATCTAGAGGTAGTGGATTATAAAAAGACTCTGTGAAAAGAGGGGCCTTACGCCGCCTCAGTGGGGAAATGGAGGCACACGAGTGTCTTAACCGGCAAGGATTACCCAGCAGGACAGAACCAGTACTAGTAACCAGATTTCCCAAGTGCAAAGGTAACACACCCTCTCACCGCACTACAGATTACCTATATATGCTGGGTTTTTTCCAAGCTTTTACTTTCTCCACATCTTAACTTCTTATACCAACATATCCCAAACTTGCAATTCCTACCTTCAGGCCCACTGCTGAATTTCCATCACTGGAAACCCCAGAAAAACCAGAGGTGGAGTCAAACCTATCTAAAGGTTGCCTGACCCACCACTAAACCAAAGGCTATTCCCCAAGCATAGTATATGGACTCAGGCAACCATTGTTTCCAACCACTACAGCTTTCTGGCGCTTTCAGAGGAAAGAACTTCCACTGCAAGACTCACAGCCTAGATAGAATTAGTTGCAGGAAACCTTTCCACTCCAACTTGTGTCTCGGCACTTTTTCCTGTTCCCTTCTGATGGGTGGCAGTGGTGGCTGCAGCCTAAATGAACAAACGTTTTCAGATTTTAAAACTGAAGCTGAAGATTCAGTTTGAAATACGTGACAGCACGCCAGAGTGCTTTTGCAATGGGCCTGGCACACAGGGCACAGTGCAAGACCCAACCTTCTGCACCAGCTCCAGCAGAATACAGTCCCAGTGGTGGTCAAGGACAGACTTTGCTAACTTGAGCTTTTGTTTTTCCAAGATACTCCTGAAGAGCTCAGGGTAAGGACACATCCAGGGCCAAGCTGCAGTACACTATATTCCACTACTATAACTGGGAAAGCCAGAAAACTTACCTGAGTTACACTAAGGCTGCACAGAAGATCAGGACAGCACACAGGTAGATCAAACCCATGAGACCTGCTCAGCTCTGACTTTGTGACTAATGTCACTGTCCTGAAGAGATTATAGATTAAATTTGAACGTAATACGATAAACTCAAGTAAGAGACACCTCAGTGAAGCAGCAACATGGAAGAGAACAAAAGGTATAAGCAGACCTATTGAAGCATGAGCTTCAAGAACAGTTGCTCCACAGGCATCAGCTCACTTGTGACCAGCATGGAGTGAGCCATGAAGCATTCAGATGTTACTTGTAGTTCTGCCTTTAAAGGTAATAAAACATTCTTTATTCTCACATTTATCTGAATTAAATAAGATTCTACAGAGATACTGGCATTCCTAATGTGTCCACTGCAATGTGCTGAGGCTGTGGCTTTATTTGGAAGGAGAGAAAAAAGCCCATTAAAATTCTTTCAAGTAACTTGCCGTGATTTGCTTCAAAAAATGAATAATCAAAACACAAAGAGTGAAAGACTTTTTTGTCTCCGAAGCAGGAAGGGAAGTATTTTTCAAACCTAAGTATGCACAACAGAGCCTGGCCATGAGCCTACTGGCATATGTGCATTGATGTGAATGAACTTTCAGATGTCTGTTCTCCCACAGGACATGTACTGTTTAAAAAAAATAAAGTGCATGACTGCTTTTAATCTACCTGAAATATGGGATACAGACAGAGCGTATTTTGTACTTGCTTTGCACTATTCATGTTCCTTTTAGCCTGCTGCAGTACTAATAGGATATTTCTGTTCCTCTACCACAGTATATAACTAGCACCTCCCAGAGAACCCAGCCAGGGCCATATAAAACCATCTGCTCTTAAGTTAGCAGTGATTTCTTCTTACAGATACAGGGTACAGAACAGCTCATACTGTCACTCCAACAAATTACACTGCTGTTTATTTAAGTAATAAAGGAATTTGTTCCAAACAGTTGGAGTTTTTTTCCAGCATTTGTTCTCCACATGTGTTTTGCTTCCTCAAGTGTTGATTTTTCATAGTTAAGAGACTTTTTCCTGCCTTTTATCCACCAGGCTAATTGCATTCTTTTTCTTTTCTGTCTAACAAGAGCTGACATCCAGCTCCATGCTCTGTGGAACAGGAAGCATTGTAGTTCCTGTTCCAAGGAGGGAACAGTTTAAACTGACCTCAGATGAATTGGACATTGGGGAAATTGACAAATCCAGCCTTGTGAGTATTTGAATTTTTTTCTACTGAGGGAAGATGTAGTCAAATGCTTGTCCTGACCTCCCACATCCTGAAACCATCTCTCACCCAAAGTAGCCCTTTAACCCAGCTGCCACCAACCATGCTCAGCTGTTCACAGTTCCCTCACCTGAGCAAACTAATCTCTCTGCTGCTTACCAAGGGAACCCAGGTTACTTCCTACTAGGAGGGCTTGCTTTGCACAAAAAAAATCTACCATGAGCCACCTGCCAGATTCTCAATTCCCCTTCTAACACCTGCACTAGGCAATCTGTGTCACACTCCCCCATGATGTTATTCAAGAGGTAAATTCAGCCCCATTCCACACACAACTGCACTAACTGCCTCCCCCCTAGACTGCCTCATCAGACCACAGATATGCTCTCATTTATCCAGAGCTCTCTTGCAAATATGCCAAATTCAGAATTTCATCACAAGTTCCTATTAGTTCCTGTATTGATCAGGATAACAAAGATTTCTTGAAGTAGCATGGCTCTTTTTCCTTAAGGAAAGGAGCCATATATATTCTGACCATCAGCTTCTCTTCTAATGACTGTAATGATAAGAAAAGCAACAATCACTCTTAAAAAAGCACATAGTATAATGTGTGTAAGTGTAATGTACTGCATTGTACCTATTTCTGACTGGGCAAAACAGCAGGATTGAAACACAAAACTCAAGTTTAAAAAGCAAACCTGTATACTCCAAAACCAAAGCACTCACTCAACTTCCTGCAAGCCATATCTGCTGAGTCTGGCCTTGCTTCCAGCACTGGTTCCAACTCTGACAATTCTATTTGTTTCTCTTACAGCAATGAAACAGGTTTTACTTCTTTTTATTACAAAAATTCAAATCTGAAGGATACATAAATTTTACTAGAGAAAGTAAAGGCAAGATATACCTGCCAACCTGATATAATCTGGCTGTGAATTGATGAACACATTTATCACAGTTGGTAAAAAAACAAACAAACAAACCACAAAAAAACCAAACTACTAGGAGTCCATTAAGAAAGAACAACCTTCCTGAGCTTTAATGCCTAAAATTGAAATTTCCTCTCATGTAAACTGGGAGTCTGAGAACACTAAACCCTCTGCCTAGAGGATTAAGTGGTGTGGTTTTTTTTTTCTTTACACAAGGCCTTTGAAACACAAATTTCCAACTGAGCTCTCTGTTCAGTGACCAGCCTCTTGGTACCTTTAGCTACCCTTCTCATTCTGCCCTCAAGGAATCAAGTTGATATCACAGAATTAAAATAACACAAACTCCAGAAGAAAAGCTGATCTAAAAAAACAGAGGATTGTAGCTGGAGAAGAGGTGCTTAACACTGCTTGGTCAAGAGAGCAGAAATTAAAGAAATGTGCCCCCAGTTTTAAGAGATCTAAGAAAACACCAGTTCAAATCTAACAGTGGAAACTATCAACTAGAGAAAATAAAACCAGAAAATGCTCTTGTATCTTGAAAGCCTTTTAGCATAGGACAATAGGAATGCAGCAACAAGAAGGACTCATGGATGGCTAAAAAGTAAAGCAATTAAGAGGTATAAAATAAAACTGCAATGTACAAAAATTAATGAATAAATTGAATTTCACATGATGTGTAGGCAAGCTACAGGAATTCTTGACCAGTGCTAAAAAGCTGTTGAGGGTTCCGAAAGGGACTGGAGAAACTCATGAAATGCTATTCATGGAGAGCTGCAGATAAGGACCTGTAAGTTCTGGTTCAAATTTGTCAGCTGGAAAAAAACAAAACAACACTGGCAGCCAGGAAAGTATTCTGAGTAAGCAGATGTTTGGGCCATCTTAATATTCCTTCCAAGGTATCAACAGTCAGAAAATGTAGTGAGCTAGGTGGATTTCTGGTCAGATTCAGTACAGTTATTCTTACTGCTCAGCAATCTGCTAATCTTCACACCAGGTGAGCAGAATGATTGGCTTGAAATATCTCATTTTTATTATTATTTTAGTTAAAGCAGGGAAATCAAAGTTTATGCATGGAGTTCCTCAGCCAAGGCCAGCACACGTGAGGATGTGAGGTGTATATGCTGGACTTAGATGTAGTTTTTGGAGTATCTACTGACAACTCCTGAGGAGGAAAAAATGAAGGACTGCAGGAGCCCTTCATGACAGTCTGTATGAAATGAAGCACTAACATGAAATTCATGATTACAAATTTAAAGCAGCATCAGACAGAAGAACAGGAAAAGTATATTTAATTTTCTATTAAACTTCCAACCAGAATACATTTTCCCAAAACAAAAAAGTTAAAGCTTTTACAATTACTGATAAGAATTTCATAATGATCAACACTGGATTTTCTCAGGAGAAAACAGGCAAAATGTTGGTTATACCTCCTCTCTGCTCTCCCAGAGAACCTAATATTTTTTCAAGGTGAAGTATTATCGAATTCTGTGAATCTCAAAGCAATGTCCTAATTCCTGCTTAGTTCTGGATATTTTATTTTTTAATTCCAAAGTAGTAATAACAAAAGTATTTTATAGCAAATTCCTAAAGCCTGCTCTAAAAAAATGTTGTTAGAAATCCCCTTTATAAGACCATTTTAATTTAACCAGCAGCAAATTTGTTAGGATGGAAGTCTGAAAGCATTTGTATGACCTCCTATTACAGCTTTTTTAAAAAATGCAAATCATTTAAATGATATGTCAAACTATTTATAATCTTCCTCAGTCTCTTCCCAACTAAGCTGAACAGTAAGCAGCCTCATTCAACTCTAAGCTTTGTAAAATTTTTCACATTGATTAAAACAAGAATTTTCACAAATACCCACCATATACCATTTGTTAGTGCCTCAAGCTTAGCCTAAAAATATCTGCCATAGACAAACTGATGGAATATACTAAGAGAATGAAGGTCT